GCTGACTGTGTCCCCATGGTGTTATCACATTTGTGACACATATGACTTCTTTTTTCTTGGAGTCGAGGTGAAATAAGTCTACTTATTATAATCAGGATCCAAACAAGGCCCACACTTTATATTTGTGCTATGCTTTTTACATTTATTTTAATTTATATGTTCTCTTTTATCCCCTTTGCAATTTATTTGATGGGGAAAAATAAAGAAGGTGCTTCATCCTGGAGCATGTTCTACATTCTGTATTCACTGATTGCCTCCCCTTGGTTCTGCTTATCATGTTTGTGACAGATGTGACTCACTTGCCCCCTCTTAGATCCTCTTCCCATACTCCTTTATGCTGGCCTTAGGAGGTTGACCCCTGTTGATGATATCAGATGGCCTCTCGTCCTCTGGCTTCAGCTGGGTTTGGCCAATAGGGAGCCCCAGCAGGAATGGGAAAGAGGAGAATGAGAGGTCAGCGTGTTTATGTCCCCGTCTCCTTCTTGGCAAGGCCACCTCAGCTTGGCTGTGCTCCACGACTGAAGGTGACTGTCCCTCTCAAGACAGCGGCTCTACCCAGCTTTCTCCTTCCTGCTGAGTAACCTCTCCTTCCTACTTGCCTCTCTGCTGATCATCCCAGGATCCTGCCCTATCCTTTACACCAGCGGTTCCCAGCCTTTTTGGCATCGGGAACCAGTTTCGTGGAAGACACTTTTTCCATGGACTAGGGGTGGGGGAAATGTGCAAACCTCACTGTAAAAAAAAAAACCTTACTGCTAATGTTAATATGCATTTGCAGCCGCTCACCAGCACTAGCATCACTGCCTCAGCTCCACCTCAGATCATCAGGCATTAGATTCTCAAAAGGAGCGCGCTATCTAGATCCCTTGCACATGCAGTTCGCAGTAGGGGTTGCGCTCCTGTGAGATTCTAATGCTGCCGCTGATCTGACAGAAGGCAGAGCTCAGACGGTAACGTGAGTGATGGGGAAGGGTTGTAAACACAGATCAAGTTTGTTGCTCACCTCCTGCTGTGCGGACTGGTTCCTAACGGGCCATGGGCCAGAACCATGTTTCTGTGTCCCCATTATTTCTAATGAAAGGACAGTTAAATCTAGAGGCTTGATCACATTCAAGTTCAATTTTTGGGGGGTAAGAACTACTTCATGGATGATGTTCAACGGGTTATATTGTATTACACCAGGAGGCACACACTATCCAGCCAGATCCCTACCAACTTTTCATCAAGTGGTTTTAGCTGTCATTGATGAATTTGTCTCTTGCCATTATTTTATCATAGCTGTCAGAAAACTGTAGTATTCCATCATCGTCTTCATTTATTAGCTGCAAATCCTTTACAAAGAGAAAACTTTCCCTTATTATCTAATTGGTTACTATGGGGTACACTTTGTATGAACCAATGTCTGCTTTTTCCCTTTATTAGTTTCAGAATTATGAGCTAGTTCCCTAGCATCCTCCAAAGGTAACCAATGATGAATTCATGGATTTTCATGAGTTCCAACCCTTCCTTATTATTCTTTCTGACGTTCAAATTGTCCCATTCCTTGGCCAGTGGGAGTCCCTTCAAGTTCATGCCTGAGTTCCTTTGATATAATCTTGAGTCTCCAGGAGTCTGCAATAGCTTACCTGCTTTCTGATGCAACAAGATAGCCCAGGCTCATCTTATACATTTCTTGCCTCAGAACTGCAAACAGCCATTTCTCCAAGTTTTCTTCCTTGGGAGATATTGAGAAGCTACATGTGGGCAGTGGGGGGGAGGAAGTAGTGTTCCTTGTTATGAGCTGTTCAGTATTTCTAGACCATATTTCAGCCAAGAAATTAATACTTTTAAAGAAAAAATGCGTCATGTGTTCATACAGAGATGTGCAATTCAAATTTAGGATCATAGGATTTTTATTTCATTCTTTTATTTTATATTTTTGTATCTTGCTCTGCTGAAAATCTTGGTTCCTAACAACATTAACATAATTATTTGAATATATACACACATATATTAAGTCTTCCGAATAACCATACCAATGTCATTACTAACAACATAATTACTGAAAACAGTAAGATTTCTTTGCAGTTCTTTTTTGTTCTTAGAATATATCCCACTAAAGATGTAAATTCAACTGCTGTGGGTGTTTTCTCAGTTACTGTGGAAAAAGTCACTTAAAGTCACCTAATTAAAGTCATGTAAAATAAGTTCTGAGTAAGCTACAAACCTGATACATAATTAGGTTCACTTGTTTCACTCTGCTTTTGATTTTTAAGGATTGTGCTCTTATTTTGATTGAAATTGGTTTGTTTTATGGTTGGGTATAACATATAAGCAACTCCCAGGTCAAATATACAAAGCATGAGCAGATTTAGCACGAGCCAAGGCCTCTCAAACTCTTTGCTTGAAGGAAATCATAGTCATAAGATCAAAGAAGAATGAGAAGTCTGCAAAGCTCTCCTGCCAATACAAAGCTCGCCTTCAATTTCTAAAACACAGATGTCAACTGAAAGATTATCAGGCGAGATATATAATTAAGCAAGGCTGCCAATCAAAAAGTAGGATTTTAAAAAATAACACAGGCACATTTCTCTGAATCCCTGGCGGCTAAAAGATTCCTTGTTTCCTAGACCATCTGCAGCAGAAATCGTAACAGAAAGAAGCCCACGTTTCCACACACCCTGCCTGGGAGTGAGGGCAGGACGAGACGGCAACTGCTCGCAGCTTCGTGCTTCATCGGAACAGGCTCTCGCCTGCCCAGAAGGTTCTTGGGAGTGTTGCTGCTCTAGTCCTGCCGGGGAGAGTGACGTCTCTTTATCTCCTTTCCCTCTTCCTGAGAGTCTCTTCACTAGAAACTGGCAGTCACGAGGATCCGCATTCTAAATGCCGCACTCCGCAATTTCGCTCGACAGCAGGGGCCACGACCAGCCGAGAACTCAACTTGGACAACGGCTTAAAGGGAAGGAGACGTTTCCCGATTCTCGATGCTGTGTCTACAGCACGCAGGGAGCCCAGGCGAGGCACGAGACGTCCGAGGAGCGACGCCGCCTCTGCTCTGACCTGCATCACCCAGCCCTGCTCCGGCTGCTCCTAAGTTGGACTTCTCCAAATCAGACCCAATTCGGAAAACAGCGTCCGTGTCACGCTGGTGCTTTCCGGAAGGCCGCCAGGTGGCGCCAAAGGATCGCCTCGCTCACCCTGTTTCCACAGCCCCCAGCTGGCGCACGCCCAGGGCTGCTGCCATCGACCACGTGTGACTCTCCGTCCTCAAACTTCCCAGTGCATCTCCGCAGTATTGTAAGCACTTCCCTATTGGCAGGCCCAGATGTGGAAAATCTCCCTCGGAGGCCTTTGAAAATATTCTAGTCCACTTTACTCATCTCATGAGTGTACTCAGGCATTCACATCAACCTTCTCTGAGCGCCTAAGGGAATGCCAGTGGTCAAGGCTGGCAGAATCACTATCAACAAAAGGCCCTGGTTCATACTCTTGGGTCACCCAGGCACAGAGGCAGAAGTAAACAGAGAAGTTAACACGGAATACCAAGAAATTAAACACGGTTGACTGGCTTGTTTTGGCCAATGAAATCTGAGTATGTGTGGTGGGTGTCACTTCTGGGCAGAACATCTGGGAGTCAAGACTTAACCCTTAGTGTTCTTTCCCTGCTTTGTGTTCAGATGAAAGGATCATAAGATGGTGTGGAGTGATTATGCAGAGAGCATCTCCCTCCCATAGCTACTATGCTAACATTTACTGAACATGCAGAATAAGTGTTAGTAGGCCATCTTTTAACCTCCCCATGGCCACCACTGCTGTCCAGGCTGTTTAAATGTAGACTGTGGGAGACTCCAGGCCTGACAGCAGGCAGCAAAGTCCCACTCCCTGGACACGTGCTCTGGAAACATCTCCCACAGCAGACCGATGTTGCCCTCTTCTTCACATTCACCCTTTCTGAACAGCTCGTGCTTCTCGCCATCGCGTAGGTTCCTGGGCCCAGAGACAGCAAATGGCTCACTGTACGATGTCCTGGGTGCTCTTGGTCAACCTGAGTCTTCCACTTCCCATGCCAACAACACCACCCCCTTCTGGTCTGCAGTTTCTAAGTCCTTGAGAACTGGAGAGCCCAATGATTACCACTGGTAAATTACATGAAAAAACAGCTTCTCAGGAGGCTGCATTAGAGGGCTGGGCTTGTGCATCCATAGGATTTAAAGGGATACATTTTATGACAATGATACTAGCTCAGGGGCCTTTTGAGCTCAATTCCTGGGTGTATTTGAAAGTTAATTTTCTCACCAAGCAATCTCTGTAAAAGGAAAGTGCTACTGTCTATGTAAGATGAAGCTGAAAGGCACAGGGAGTGTGAGGTTATGGCAGAACTAAAAGGCGACAGGACTAACCTTCACCAGTCTCTTTCTTTCTCCAGAAAGGCCTGAAAAGGTTAAGGCACCAGCAGATTCACAGGGACAGAAAGACAACATGGGCGGGTGGGCCACGTACAGTGCGAAAGTTTCTAGCAGAAAAAACACGATAGAAGTTGGCCCACTGCCCCATTTCTGTCCATTCACAAGGGGACACGACATAGGTTCCTAGCCATCAGAGTGACTCTGCACAGGTTGATGAGCCTCTTTGAGTCTTTTTCCTCATATGTAAGAAGGCCGCCAGGAGGAGGGAAATATTTCTGGCTCCTGGGATTTCATAGATGACTGCCTTTATTACACAAATATTACCTTTTATTAAAAATGTGTTTTATCGTTTTAGAGACAAGTTCTCACTGCTGCCCAGGCTAGAGTACAGTGGTTATTCACAAGTGTGATCACAGTACTCTGTGGCCTCGAACTCCTAGGCTCAAGCAATCCTCTGGCCTCATCCTCCTGAATAGGTGGGACTTACAGGTATATGCCACTGTACCTGCCAGTAAATATTATCTTTGTATGTACATAGAAGATTTCCTCTTGCTGGGCATTCATGCAATTTCTGAGTAAATTCAGAAGAATAAAACATCTACACTGACAAGATACATTTTAAAAAAATTTTTCAAATAAAAAAAAGGCTTTGAAATGCAGTAAGAAGTCAAGTCTTGTATATTTTGCACATCTCTGTCCTCTACTCTGTATTCATTTCCTACTGCAGGAAGCTGACGCCACAGCTGATCCCAGTTCAACAAAGACACCAGCAGGCCACTTAATGTTTCTTCACTGTATTAACTGCCAAATGAATGCAATTCTCAAGGACAGCTCCCAGGGTCCCTTAACTTTGTTCTTCCCAGGAGAAATCCATTTTGCAGCCAAATGTGACAAGTAGACTCGGACCAGACACATCTGGCACAGTCACTGTCCTGTCACGCTGCCTATGTGGACTAAGGGCATCGTGTGTGGCAGCCTCTGAAGGCCCTGCTACGCCTGCTCACCAGCACCACCTCCACCGGCTGCCGAGACTTTGCCAGGCGCCTGGGCTTCTGAGGTGCGTGAGGCCTGCTTCGGCAGGCGGATGGGTACGTAGACATTGGAAGCACAATGCTCCTTGAGGTACTCTCCTCCCTTTTCTTCATATTCTTTCCTGGTGATCCAGGCTTCATCATCATCTAGGTGGGCCAAGGCCCAGTCACGAGCACCGTACCAGGCGTCTAGCACAGGATTCAAGGCAAGGTGAACCTGAAACACAAAGGGAACATCTACCAGAAGGGCATCTCCACTAGGGCTCTGGGCTTCCAGAGTGAATGTTCAGCAGGCTCAGCCCTTTACAGTTTATCCCCAGAAATACACACGTAGGAGGGTCCCAAGGAAGACAGAGCCAGGCTATGCTGCACCCTCCAAAGTTGAGCTGAAATGCCCAGACTTCCCAAAAGAGCAGAGAAGAATGCAAGGCATACCTAACATCCCCTCACAGAACAGGTGGTTACCAGATATTTTACAAAAACAAGACCTGCCACTCTGGGCAGAGAGGGGCCAGTTGCCCAGCCTCCTGCTCCATGAGGCTGTCAACCAAAGTGGGGGACAGGGGTGCAGTGGAGGCTGGCACTCAACCTGGAGGAAAGGCCTTCCTGCCCCCATCTCCCTCTTTGTGAGCAGAGAGAAGCAAAGGCTGATACTAGGTGGCTTTGGCCAGGGTATTAAAGAGCCTCAGGAGAAATGGCAGCAGAGAGGGGCAACCTGGGCATTCGTTCTCTGTGATGCTGCCAGTGTTTAGTTCCCACTGCTTCTTAGCCAAGCAAGGCTGGGGTCAGCAGCTCTCTGAGGCCCCTCAGGGAGGTGGACCCGACCGTTCAGATAACACTCCGTAGCTCAAACCACACCTCCTGTGTCCCATGTTCTAGAGTCCCTCGTCTCACATACCGCTTTCCTCTCAGCCCCCACCCACTATCGCAAGTGCAGGGCAGGTCACACAAGCAGCATCATCATGCCCAGATGGAGGAGAACGGAGGTGAAAAGGTGCAGGCCCAGGAGTCCCCCTGCTTGGGCTCAGTGCAGAGGCGAGGGACTTGTGAACAGGAACCTTGTCACACAATGAGGGTGAGAGGAAGCCCTACTGCCCCAGAGCAGGAGAGTCAGTGAAAGGATGCCTATAAGGTACCTGGTATCCTGTCTGGTGTAGAGTATTCAATAAATAAATGGCTACCATCATTATTACTGATGAGAATGCAATAAGACATATGTTAATGGATTATACAACCATAAAAAGGATGCTCTGGAAATGTACCTATTGATACAGAAAAACTATCGCAATAATTTAAAGTAAAAAAAAAAAAGGGCTACAGAACAAGCTATCAACAATCTTTTTGTTGTTTAAATTAATCATACACGAGAAAAAAATGACCAGAAAGTATACATATAACATTGTTCAAAGGCTGGAACTATAATTTTTTTTTTCATTTTGGCCTATTTAAATTGTCTGGTATTTCTGTGATGTTTTTTAAATGTTTTGCTGTTTAAGAAAAAAAAACAAGAGAAACTTTATGTTTTCAAGAAGGTTGTAAAAGTTGTGCAGATCTTGGGGTTTTCTACCTCCTAAGGACCATGCAGGGCCTGAGACAGCTTGTGCATCTGAGCCCCTGCTGAATACATCATCTAAAACTGCAACAGCAAGAATGGGAAGGCGAAGTGAGGCTGGGGGGAGTCAGGGCTAGGCCACATGAGGCCTGAGCAGCTAAAGGACACGGCTGGGAAAGGATCTGGTGGCCGGGTTCCCACAACCAATGCCCATGAAGTAACTCATGTGAGGGGCTTTGGGGGTTACCAAAAAACGGATCTTGGAAATCCGCTAAGATTCTTTTCTTGACACTTTGCACAAGTCGGCCCTGCCAGCGTGACTCAGCCTGGTGCTCATGCTTCCTCTCGCCACCCCTTGGCTTCAGCGCTGCTGCTTCTCATTCCTCTCCCACCTCTTTCTTAGATTCCATCATGAGCATCCTCTACCCTCCTGCAGCCCTTGAATGCTGTTTTTCTTCAGGGCTGAATCCTTGACTCACCTGCCCTCCCAAAGAGTGCCATGAGCACACTTAAATGAGAGGATGCGAACCCACCCTAACCCCTTAGCACTCATCAGCAGCTTCTTCCTGTGTGTCCACTGGAAAGTCGACTAAACCCCCCAGGAAGTGAAGTTCATTATTCTCCCTGCAAAACTGTTCCTCCTCCCAGACTGCCTAGTCCAGTCAATGTCATATCTGTCACACTAGTTGCTCTACCTAGAACTTGGGAGTTGTCTACAGTCCCACTTTTCTCACCAAACCTTGTCTACCATCAAGTTCTGACAACTGTGCTAATTCCTTAACTTCTCTTGCATCAACTCCATCCTTTCCTCTCCCTCTGCTACTGCCTTCGTATGTCCTGCACAGCTGGCAGGCAACACTGTGCCAAGCACTTGGAACACATTTCACAAGACAGAGGCCATCTCTTCTGTCATGGAGTTGAGTCTAGTAAGGGACATAGGTAAAGACAGGGAAGGCTTCCTGGAGGAAGTGACAGCTAAACCAGCCACTGAGAGAGAATTGAATGACCTAGAAAGAATATTCCATGCAAAGGGAACCAGTGTGTGCAGAGGCCAGAGACAGAAAAATGTGGCATATCTGGTGAACTAATAGTACTTAACTCTGGCTGAAGTGCAGGTTGGAAGGGAGAAAGCTGAGGTTGGACAGTTCTTGGAGATCAGATCATAAGGGGCCTTGTACACCATGGGAAGTGGAGAGCAGTGAGGACTTCTTCCCAAAAGGCTGGGAGCTGCCTCCTAGCTGCTCTCCTGCTTCCAATATTTCTCTTGATATTCCATTTTTCACACCATTGTCAAAAATATCTTCCTAAAATGCAAATAGAATCACATGACTCCCCTGCTTAGACTCTTTATCATGGCTCACTATAGCCTGAAGATAACAGTTAAGCAGAAAAGAGTTAATCTGCTGGTCTCAGTGGTTCATGCCTGTAATCCCAACACTCTGGGAAGCTAAGGTGAGAGGACTGCCTGAGCCCAGGAGTTCAAGACCAGCCTAGGCAACATGGCAAGACCCTCATCTCTACGATAAATAAAAAAGTTAGTGGGGCATGGTGCCATACACCTGTAGTCTAGCTACTTAGAAGGCTGAGGCAGAAGGATCATGCCACTGTACTCCAGCTTGGGTGACAGAGTGAGAATCCAACTCAAAAAAAGAAAAGAAAGAGTTAATCACATAGCAGCCTAATCTTATCCTTAGAAAAGCACGCTTTACAAGGTGATCCCTGGTAGGCATCTGGAAACTTATATTCTGGGGGGGCTCCCACCACTACCTGATAAGAGGGGCTCACTGTGCCTATTCACACAAACGATGTGGCTTATGCTTTCCTTCTGCGAGTCTGGAATTTGGGTAGGCTCCAAGTAGGACGTGTCTGTGTGATCCACCCCCAAATAAAAGCCCTAGGCACTTAGTCTCTAAGGAGCTTCCCTGGTTGGCAGCATTCCATGGTTGTTACAGCTCATTCTGGGGGCACTGGGTATGTCTCATGTGACTCCAGGTGAGAGGACTCTGGAAGCTTACACTGGTTTCCCCCAGACTTCACTTCCTGCACCTTGTCTCTTTGCGATTTTGCTCTGTATTCTTTTGCTGTAGTTAGTCATAGTATGATTATATGCAGAATCTTGGGAGCCCTCCCAAAAAATCATCATGCCTGGAGTGGTCTTAGAAACCACCAACACAACAGCTAACATCTGAGTTTATTACATGTAGACCCTGTGCTGAGTGTTTTATGTGACCAGTATGCTGAACCCTGGCCACAGGTGCTGTGATTATTCCTTCTTAGCACTGAGAAAATGGAAGTTAAGCAAAATGCAGTAAGGGTGACAGAGGACCACACCCTGCATGTACACTACATCATGTGGCAGAGTGGGGGCACTACATCATGTGGCAGAGTGGGGGTACGGTCAAGCTTCTGGCTGCACAGGCTCTGCATGGTGTGGGCCGTGCTGACCTCTCCACCTCGTCAGCCTCCTCTCCTCCTTAGCAGCCACACACTGCAGACACACTCAGCCATCTCACATTCCCTCAACAAGCTTTTGGCCCCCGAGTCTTCGCTCATGTTAGGCACTCAGTCTGGCATGCTCTCTGCAACCTACCCTATGCCCCACTGTCTAGGTGGCACACAACTACTTATCGCTAGGAGATCCAGTTCCATAGGGACTTCTCTGAAGGTGGCCATGGCTGTACATGTATGTTTATGGGCTAGGTTTCCATAGTCTATTTACTTGGCCACTGTCCTCTCAAATATCAAGAAGATCTTTGTAGCAAGGGGCTGTGTACAGGACATTTAGCATGGTCCCCATGGTGCCTGGTCCATAAAGAGAGCTCAGACCATGCTTCTTGGTCATTAGGGATTTGGCAGATAAACTGTCAGGCATTCACATCAGTTATTGTTTTTTGAGTAGAGTTATCACTCTGTCGCCCAGGCTGGAGTGCAGTGACACCTTAACCACAGCCTCAACCTCTTGGGCTTAGGCAATCCTTCCACCTCAGCCTTCTGAGTAGCTAGGATTACAGGGGCATGCCACCAAACTCAGCAAATTAAAAAAAATTTTTTGTAGAGATGAGGTCTGTGTTGCCTAAGCTGGTCTTGAACTCCTGGGCTCAAGCAATCCTTCCATCTCGGCTTCCCAAAGTGCTGGGATTACAGGCATGAGCCACCGAGCCTGGTCAAAAGATAGTATTTTAGAATAATGGCATGGGAAAATGTTTGTGATAGGTTAAGAAAGTTCAGGTTACAAAAGAGTACACACTTGTGTGCAGAAAATTTATGGACAAAAAGCTCTGCCTATAGGATGGGGGACTGGGTATGGGGAATAACTTGATGTATACTCTTTCATTACTCTTTGAGGTTTATTATACATGTCTTCCTTTTTAAAATAAAGTAGTATAGAAAACATAACGTCCATTCTGCTCTAAACATAAAGACAAGAAGGAAAGCCACAAAAATGTTAACAGTGGTTATCTCAGGATAATGAAACTGTAATCTTCTTCATTACACTTTATTACTTTTGCAGTCAGAAAACAAATAATTAATGCCATCTTCAAAATAGTTGGCAACATGGACGATTAGTACCTGAAAAGACGACTGAAAGGGTCTCATCTCCAACAGCTCCTTCTCCATTCTGGCTTTCATCCCAGGATACATCGTGTTCCCACCAGTGAGGAAAATGTTCTGAACCAGCATCTCCTGAACATCCTTTGGGTACCTAGGAGAGAAAGGACTCTTTCTTATATAGTCCCTCCAACATGAGTATCAGAGGAGAATACAGATGTGGAAATGTAAGTTCTCAGTACAAAATAGAAAACATCTAAACAAAAAGTTAAAACAAATAAAGCCCAAGCTTTCATTTTTCACTGTGTCTCTACAGAATGCTCGTCTAAAGTTTCCAAATAACCAGTCAAAACCTTAAATTGAATAGTCAACTCATTTCCTTACCATGATTAGAATTTTTACACTTTTGCAATACATGTTTTTTTAATCAGCTTTTGAGTATTACTTCACATACATTTTTACAAAGTCTGACAAATTGTTATATACCAGTAACCATAACTACAATCAAAATATAAAACATTTCCACCATCCCCAAAAGTCCTCCTCCCTTTTGAAGGTCCATTTCTCTACTTGTGTCTTTTCTCTCTTTTTTTTTTAATAATAGCTTTATCTTGGATGTGCTTGATCACTTTCCCACTCACTATTAGGAGAAAGCTTAAAGCCACTGTAACAAAGCAGCTCCAAAGCTTTCTTTCCTTGCTAGACGCATTTCCTTCCCGTTATAACCAACAACAGTCAGAGTACTACAAATTCTATTCCCTACTGGTCTAACTTGAATTATGAAATCTCACACTGCAGGAACACGCCTGTATAAATGGGTGAAGGGAGGTGCATTTCCATGGAATGTAAATTCTTAAGTAAGAAAAATACTTGCAAGGAGGGGAAAAAACTTTTACATGCTCAGCAATATTCTTAGGATGATTTAAAATCACTAGTCTTTAATAATGCAAAGGTTTACATGAAAGCCAGTGTACATGTTGTTCAAACACAAAAGAAACTCTTAAAGCTCCTCAAATCAACTGGGTACTTACAGGTTCAGAAAACAATTACAGAGCCCCAGGAAGGTGCCAGGCCTGGTGATAAGCAATAAAAGATTATCTGATCATAGCAAGTCAATAGAAAGAAGAGAGCGAGGTGGACTTTGACAGTGCCTGACCATCAAATCTACCATTCAATACACAATCCATGGAAATGGCTCAGGAAGATATAAGGAAAAAAGGTTTTACCATCTTACCTGTCCAGGATGTACTGAAGAGTCTCTGCGATCCCAGCCTGCTCTTCTCCTATGAGAGATGGCTGGAAAATAATTTCTGGAGCTCGAATTCTTTCTGTTCCAACAAACAGCTGATGATATGCTGCCAAGTTAAACACGGGCTTTAAAAACCCAAGGTTTAAAAGATATTTTTAGGCCATAATGACAAACATCCCAAGTACTAATTTCCTTAAATTCCATTTCTTACTCCAAAATAGTTTCTGAACTTTATTCATGACAGAATAGCCTCTCCGCAACTCTCTTGACTTAATTCAATTTTCTACCTTCTTTCAACCTGACAATTGTAAACACCTACCATCTACATCCTGAAATGGCCTGAGTTGCAGGAAAGAGGCTTTGTGGAGCAGCAATAAAGTGCCAGCATGGGGGACAACCCTCCCACCCAGAGACTTGCTTAGCACCCCTGATCCCTGCACAGCCAGGACGTTCTCTCTGGGTGGGTCCCAAACTCAGAGCAGTTTATCTGGTTGCTACTGTAAGGACAGAAACACAGACCCCCCCCCAAAGATAATTAAATAAAATGACAATGGCTTAAATGGAAATGACACCACTAAAAACCAACCTTTGGATCTAAAGTTCCCAATTACTTGCCCAAATGTTTCTGCCAGGTAGATTGTTTTTTACAGATTCCTAGATCTCAGTGCTGGAATCTCTATCAGTCCCTAGGAAAGCCTCCACTGACTTCAGTGTTTTAAGTACTGATATTTCCTTTCTCGAAAACACAACTGGGATTTTAAAAAAAAAAGTCCTAAATACGCAGACTAGACTAGCCCAGCAATCTATGTCAAGAGCCTCAAAGCACAAGCATGGTCTGCAGAAGTCAAACCTGGACAGTGGCAACCGGCTTCTCCACTTCCGGTGTCTCCTCTGAAAACAAGGGATCGAAATCATTCATGTTTTCCACATCTTCCAAAGATGGCTCCAACTGCTCCAGGTCAGGTGTCTAAGAAGAGAACAGGATAAGAATAAACAAAACAAAACAGAACCTATACCTTCAGTCAGCCTTAGTTCCTTTAGTTCAGAGTCACAAAAAAAGAATTGGGATCTTGCCCAATGTTCTAAGAGCTTACATAAAGACTATGAAAATTTTCCTAAGTTATTTTTAAAAAAGCACATACATGAACACAGATTAAAAGATAAAAAGCTAGGAATGGGCTCTGCGTTTATCTCCTACCCTTCCTACTTATTCAGGCTTGATTCACCCTCGCCTTCTGATGGTGCCAGCTCAGGGCTGGGTCCCGGGAAGACTTGCTGCTTGCATTAGTCACACCACCACACAAAGCTGGGTGAGAAGGCTGCAACAGATGCTGTCCTATGAGGTAGCTAGACTGCCAGCAAAACTAAATTAATTCCTTAATAATTAAAAACTATATGTGCTAACACTAACAGGCTCAACAATTAGCCCCTTAGCAGCAGGTCCCGTTGGGCTGGGGTGTGACTGAAGGCCCCGGTGGCAGAGGCTTCCTCTCTGTGGAGCCTTGCAGGCTCCCCGCTTTCATGACAACACTCCTGGGTGGGGCCTAGACATGCTGGCCCCACTCCCAACAGAGGGGCTAGGGCATTTTAACCTGTACAAAAGAAATTGGGGGGTGGTTCTGGAAGACATCTTCAGCCATCTATTGTTCTACCATTTGAAAGTCCTCTTCTGGACTCAAGAAGGAGAAGTTACAGGAAGAAATATTGTGCTGCATCCCATGGAAGGATCCTCCAACAATGATGGCTGCTGGAGAGTGGACTGTCTCAGGTCTCCAAGGTGGCACCTTGCAGAGGGTTCAGGCAGACTCGGGAACCAATGGCCAAGTATGACAAAGAGGAGAGTCCTCCCTCCAATGAGTACCCATCCTCTGAGTCTCTACTTCTCTTAGAATCTATACAGTATGTACATCACTGACATAATTCAGAGGATTTAAATATACTTCTCCAGGACTTATTCACATGTACTACAAACGTAAACTAGTATTTAAACTCACTCTTAAATAAAGCAATACTCCTCAATACCACACATACACTCACACATCAGAAGTCATGTGGCATATATGGCATGCAGAATGGGTGACAGTGTATTCTAAATTTTGTTCAGCAAAGACGATTCTACCATTAAAATTTAAAGGGAATTTTCCAGGCTTGAGGGTAAACTCTCAAAGAGAATGTTTCTTTCTTTCTTCCTTCCTTCTCTTTTTTTTCTTTCTTTTTTAAAGAGACAGTCCACCTATGTTGCCCAGGCTGGACTTTCTTGGGGTTTTCTTTTTTTTTTCTTTTTTGAGTCAGGGTCTCAAGCTGTCACTCACCCTGGAGTGAGTGGCACAATCACCATTCACTATTAGCCTTGACCTCCTGGGCTCAAGCGATCCTCCCACCTTGGTCTCCCAAAGTGCTAGGATTATAGGCATGAGCTACCATGCCTGGCCCCCAAATGTTTCTTCATCTGAAACTAAAGGACAGGATGAGAAGGCTGATTTAATTTGAGGCGGGAAGAAAATGGGTTGGGTGACATGCATCTAAAGGACCGTGCTCTCAGGGAAGGAGGCAAAAGGGATCTCTGCCAACACTAAATCAGATGCAGGGAAGCAACACATGCTACCTGCACAATACTCACTGTAGATATTATTACTACCTTTTATGGGTGAAGAAACTGTAGCTCAGGGAGGTGATGTCACCTGCTCAAGGTCACATCACACTAGTCTGCAGTGGAAGTTTGGCATTGGCAGGAGACAGAACTGCTCAACTCCAAAGTCTTTGCCCTTCCTTAAGGTGGAACTCAATAAATCATAAGTCTAAGCACCAGAAGACAACTGGGGCTTCAGGAGGATGGAAGAGACCTGGCCCAGGGTCAGAGTGGGTAACCCAAGAGACGAATGAGAGATCTTATCTGCTGTAGCAAGACCAGCTAAAGAGAATGGCAGGCTCCTCTGTCTATGCAGGGCAGCAGAGAGTATGTAAATGAACATCCCTTAGCCACCTGCAGTCTGTGATCTGAAAGACTCTCAGCTCCCCTCACAGGAAAGGAGCTTTACCAACAGAAGCGCCTATGTCTATTTTGGCTTGGTACAAAACCCAGCTCTTCAGGAATGACTCCAAAGGGGTCCCAGGAGAGGACTAGCAATGGATCATCGAAGTTCCTTTTCATTTGGTGGCTTGTCATCTAAGATGACAGTGTGGCAAAACAGGTTTTGAAGACACATTGATTCAGCTCAGAATGGCAATCAAGACAAGTCTCAGTTGCCTGTAAAGTGGAAATGATAGAACCTATTCACTGAATTTTGAAAATTAACTAGGATGACACTCGCAGAAGTGCTCAGCACAGAGTTCAACATGCCACATGCTCTATTATCATCAGCCACTGCCACTCCTGCCACCTTGGCTTATACATGGCATAGAGAGCTTGGAATTCCACCTCCATTCCCATAGCTCTTGACAAATTCCAGGTCCACATCAGCTCTTGTCTACACGTTTTTATTGTCTTCCCACCTTCAGCCTCACCTCTCCCATCATCCTAACTGCCATCAGTTATTTTTCCAAAATAAACGTCCTTACAGCATTTCCCTGCTCAGTATCCTTGGAAGGCTCTATCTGAAGAGTAACATGCAGGCTCTTTAGTCTGATGGGAAAGATCTGCACAGCCACCTGCACTTCGTCGTCTACCACCACCCTTCTTGCTCATACCTACAGCCTTGCCTGCACATGTGGTTCTTTCCACCTAAAATATCCTTCCCTCCCCCTTTCCTATATACTGAAATGAAGTAATCTTTCACAGTCCACCTAAAACATTTCAATCCTTTCTCAAAAATCCATCTGTGTTCCCATATCTACTGCCACACCTGATATGCTTCATTACAGTCAGGATGGTACTACAATCCCAGGCGGGTTTTTCTTTGTTTGAGGTACCCAAGAGAGCAGGAACAGTATCTTAAACAACTCTGTATCACTGGTCCCTGGCACACTGTGCCTGGCACTGAATGGAGGGCCCCTGGGATATACCCTCAAACTTCCTTGACACAGAGAAGATTGTAAAACTTTGGGTATCAAAAGGTTTCTTCAGCTGCAACAAAAATATCATCATTCATCCTCATCTAGCTATATCAAAAGCATGTCATATTAAAAATAAGACAAATTCTTAGTTTCATTGAAAATGGTAAAAAGAGTATTTACTTATCCCAATTCATATGATTCGCAGTGAGGAACAAAGCTAATAATTTCAACACAGAGAACAGGCATCGAACAGAGAACAGATTTCTCTACCATGGCTGGTTTTTCTTCCCCCAGGGTCTGCCAGGGTCTCCTCATGTATTGTGTTCAAGAACACTTAACATGACTGTTCTTTTGGAACTAAACAGAATGACAGTTTGCCAAACATATCCAGAAGATGCAGCATGATTCCCTAAAAGCCTTGAGCAGCATAACAACAAGCAGAGGCCAACTCTGATGTTAGCTCATAAAGCAAGAGAACTTTCTATATTTGGCCCATTGTGTTTTCCAACAAATGATGATTTTCTAAAACTGTGTCTCCCCTCCTACCCTCTCATGCTTTGCTTGCAGCTCTGAAAAGCAAGCATCTTCTAGTTTAAACACTCCATTAGAATGCTAACAAAGCCTGTTCTTTTTACAACAGTCTCCTAGAAATAATTGCAGAACAGCAAGGGCCAGAATGGATTGGTCTGTAAGAAAAAATGGAATTTAGGAAACACTGTAGGTCAAAAAATTCCAGCTGTACTAATTCAATTCAGTCATTGCTGCATTCGTGGAATTTCAATATGAATTTTGGTTCACATGTACCTACCTATTCATGTCATTCTAAACAAACCATATTGCTGGAAAATACTACAAATACTTTTTGAAAGGTAGAACTGGCTTGTCAGTGTCCAAATTTATCCCTCTAAACACCAACAATTACCCTCCATAAATGCTGGCTGATCATTAACGCTTTGGTGACATATCAATCCATCAAATTTGTTGTCTACAGAGAAATCTTTTGAAGTCCAACTTTCAAAATCTCCCAAGCCCAAGGAGATTTAAATATGTATCCCCAGAGCACAGAACAAAGTGAGTGCTTAGTAAGTATGTGCTGAATGAAAGAAGTGGCTGAATCATCGCATGTAACAAACACAGAGGGATGAACAAAGAGGAAAAATCCGTTTTTAAAAAAAACTGGTTTTTACATCTTTACGGTGGTTTTTCCTTTTAAAATCTTACCTGCATGTGGCTTAATGGCACCTCTCTGATAAACAAAGCTTACATCCTGTTGCTATGTTGAGCATAATAAAAACGAAATATGGATGAATACATAAGAAAGAAAACATGGTTCTGTTTCAGCAGATTATAGCTCAAATCTGAAACACAGACCTGAAAACTGGAGACGCACACTAGAAAAGGCACATTCGTTCAACTCAGTTGATGTGGAGCACCATGGGGGAGTCAGGTGACAGGAAAGGCCATTTTTCCCGAGATGTCCGTGGTCCAGGGAGATGGGTCTACTAGCCTACCTCAGGGTCTACAGCATGCTCACGGCCAGTCCTGTCCTCACATGATCCACAGCCTGTCAGCAAGCACAGAGAATGTGAGGCTGACAGCAGGAGCTGTAAGGAGCCTCCAGCAGAGAGTCTGGCACTGAAAAAGGGAGCTTCACACTGAGCCACAGACAGCCTGACATCACTGACAAGCACCATACTACCCCAGCAGCAAATGGCACTGACATGGATTTTTCCATAATATTCTTTCTCTCTAAAGGCATAAGTCATTAAGAATGTAAAGAAGGTACCAGGGTCTAAGCTCTTTTGGCCACATCAACACATATTAACAGTGCACAGACAGGGAACCAGAAAGGAGAACAAGAGAAAGTCTGAGAGTTTATCCAAAGAGTTAGTTTTCAGTAACTAATAAAAGGCTAATCTTAAAGTAACCTACAAATGTTTTATTGAGCACGACAACTAGCTGCTTTAAAAAATTTATAAACTATGTATGAAGCATGATGCCTGTCCTTAGGACACATCAAGATGAAAAGGAGGTAAGTGATAATCAACCATAATATATGTATTTAATAAGACACATTAACCAGAAAAAAACTAGAGAAGTGTATGACTATCAAATGACCATCAGAGGAGCAGGTTCAGGTTCAAGACACCACCACAGGATTGCTATGTGAATATTCTTTCCATTCTTTTTTTTTATTTTTTTGGAGACAAGGTCTTTCTCTGCTGCCCAGGCTAGAGTACAGTGGCATGATCATAAATCTAACTCTCTGCAGCCCCAAATACCCCATCACACTCAACTAATTTTTTTTTTAAATAGATACAGGGTTTTGCTATGTTGCCCAGGCTGGTCTCAAACTTCTGGCCTCAAGCGATCCACCCGCCTCAGCCTCCCAAAGTGCTGAGAGTACAGGGATGAGTAACTGCACCTGGCCAATGTTCTTCCTATTCTACATGCATACTTGCCCCTCTCAGAGGGACAGAGGTCTACAGAATACCACTCTGCTCTCTTTTTCTCCTGATTCTGGTTACAACCTCTTTGATGTCAGCCCTCTCAGAACCCCCGCTCCTCTCAGGAAGGACTGCTCCCTCCCAAGGCCCTCAGTCACCTCTGGCTTGCTGTCTACCACATCCACCTCAAGGTTGACTTCTGCTTGGAGGATTTTCTGCTTAGCTTGCTCCACTGCTGAACTGAGCTTCTGGATGTAGGAATGCAGCTCTTCAGGGGAATCCATGTTCAGCTCTATCAGAGCTTTGTGAAATTGATCCATCTGGCCATCCTCTAGAAGTTCCTGAAACCACAGCAGTCACATTTCATCCTCAAAGACAAACAGTGCAATCACAAACAGAAAGGAACGAGAAGTAGCTTCAAAACCAAACAGAGGGCCAGACATGGTGGCTCACACTTGTAATCCCAGCACTTTGGGGGGCTGAGGCGGGAGGATTGCTTGAGCCCAAGAGTTCGAGGCCAGCTTAAGCAGCATAGCTAGACCTTGTCTCTATTAAAAAAAAAAAAAATTAGTGGGGTGTGGTGGTATATGCCTATAGTCCCAGCTACTTGGGAGGCTGAAGCAGAAGGATTGCCTGAGCCCAGGAGATTAAGGCTGTGGTGAGCTATGATTGTGACACTGTACCCCAGCCTGGGCAAGAGTGAGACCCTGACTCAAAAAAAAAAAAAAAAAAAAAGAGAGAGAAAGAAGAGCTACAGCCGAGGAAGGCTCCCAGAGATCCCTGGCCTGCCCTAACAGAGTCATTAACTCCAGCTCCTCCAGTTTTGTAGAGCTGCTTCATCTCCAGCTGCCTCTAGGCTAGCATGTGTCACAGTTCCAGCATCATCTGGCTAGGCAAAACTAATGGTAGTGACAGATGTCAGAAATGTCATCTTTTGCAGGATGAGGTGGGAAAGCTATTGACTGAGAGGAGAAATGAGGGAGGCTTCTGGAATGCTAGTAACGTGCTGTTTCTTGATCTGACAGCAGAAACATGGGTGTGCTTCACTTTATGAAAATTCATCAAGGAACAGATTTAAGATCTGTGCACTTTGTATCATGTGTACTACTCTTAAATTAAGAGGCTAAAAAAGAGGAGATATAAGACAAAAGTAAACAAAAGAACAAAGCTGGCGACCACAGCTCTTTCAGAAACAGTTGCTTCTATACTGTACTGTACAGTGATACACTTTATACAGGAATCCCTCTGGATTCCTTCTTGATCTCAAAGGTAACTTAGTCAATGACAGAGAAAATTTTCTGAGACTGCCTTGCAGAGCACGGCTGGGGCCTAATGCTGGACCTGGACATAGAGCAGTCTGTCCAGCCTCTCCTGATCCAGTTGCAGCTTCTCCTCCCGCCGTCGGGCATTGAGCTCCTGCAGACGCCGCAACTGCTGCTGCCGCCTTTCCTGTTTTTCCTCAGAGGTCAGAGTGCTGCCGAGGAGCTTGCTAGAAAACGGGAGTTGCATCTTGTGGACGTTGTTCTCATAATAATCAGGGCACCGCCATTTCTGCAATTCTTAAAAGAAACAATTCTGGCAGTTAGGAAATGAAAACACTAGTAACACAAAAATTAAAATCAATACCAGGGTTCCAGATATAGGCAAGATGGAGAAAATACATTCCACCTCATCTCCGAATCCATTCAGTCAACTAAATGCAGCTATAAAATCTAATATATTGCTGTGGATTTGCTCTAAACAAGTTGTAAATACAGCTCGTCAGACAGAAATGACACCAGAAGGAAGCCTGGAACACCAGGAATGAAGAAAGAGCAGTACAAATGATGAAAATCTGGTTAAGCATAACAGATGCATCTCCTCATGCATTCTTTAAAGCAGATTTGACAGCTAAAAGTAAAAATCGTAACACCGTCTGGTGCGTTTCCAATATATACAGAAGTAACAATTAAGACAACTCCAACATAGACAGGGAGAGATAAAGGAGTCAATATAGTGCTAACATTTCTGCATTCCACTTGAAGTGGTAAATACTGATTCTAAGTAGGCTGAAAAGTTGTGTTTACTGTAATCTCTAGAGCAAACACTGAAAAACTACACAAAAGGTACAGTAAAATAGATTAAATGCACCTAAAAAAGTACAAATAACCTAAAAGAAGGCAGGAAAGAGAAACAGAAACAATAAGCAGAAGGAACAACAGAAAACAAATAATAAAATGGTGAGCCTAAAGCCAAACATATGCATAATTAAATTAATTATAAATTGACTTGTACCAATTACAAGATACAGATTTAGAAATGGACTGAATAGATTTTTAAAAACTGACCCACCTATTAAGAAACTCTCTTGGATTAAAAGCAAAAGATGGAAAGACATACAATGCAACCACTGATCAAAAGAACGTTTAAGTAGCTATTTTAATATTAAAGTAGACTTCAAGGCAAAGAAAATTACCAGGGAGAAAGAGGGACATCACATAATGATAAAAGGTCAATTTGTCATGAAGACATGAGAACCCTAAATATGAACCTAACAAAAGATTCAAGTATCTGAGAGCAAAAGCTGACAGAATGAAGGAAAAACAGGAGTATTCACAATTCTACCCAGAGACTTCAACACTTTAACTGATTGTTGAATCAACTGAGTCAATAGCTGGAAATAAACAAGGATACAGGAAAACAGAACACCACCACCAACAGCATTAAATGACACCACAGAATATTCCACCCAACAGAAGACATGTTCTTTTCAAGTGCATGTGGAACTCCTGCCAAATTAAACCATATTCTGAGTCATAAAACAAATTTAACTAATATCAGACAAATAAAGATATTTGGCCATAACGGAATTAAGCAAGAAATAAGTCACAGGAAGATAACAGGAAAATCTCCATACATTTGGTCATAAAATAACACTTTTTTTTGCTTTTTGTCACTTTGTTAGTTTTCTGCAGTTATCAATTGCTCAAAGAAGTCACTGAGTAAAACGAGAAAATATCTGAACTCAATAAGAATAAAAATATAATATCAGAATTTGTGGGATGCTGATGAAATATCTATCTGCAAAACCTATAATAGCCTGCTGAAATAGCTTGCTGACATGAGTAAGTAATTCCATTTTGTAATAGGTCTTCCATCTTAGCCTAGAGATGACCCCCTTATGTAACCTTTTCATAATCATACCGCACACCCACATTCCTGTGCCCCTCAGTGATTGGAAACTCCCTAGTTGTGTAAATTCTGTAACTACCCCTTACTAATCATATGGTCTGCCAAGAAATATCAATCAAACTGTACAGCTTATGTAATGTTTACCTTTAAAAACCCACTACTTACTCTGTTCGGGACCGAGAGTTCTTTGGACTAGTGTCCACTCTCAATTGCCAGTATCAATAAAGGACACATAATTTGACCCTCTCTACGTGTTGGTGGCTCCTTTCTCACTATTCAGCTATAACATTTGGAGGCCCCAGCGAGATAGTTGCCAACCTCGGGAGGTGACCTTGCTCTAGCTCTCCCTTGGCTCCGTGGAGGAGTTATAGGGGAGGCGCCCCCTGAGTCATTCCAGGGCCCCATAACCTCTCACCTGGCTCGGAGGGAGAAGGAGTGATTGCCGATTTCCTCCCACCTCAAAAATTCCTGAGTCTGTCTGCGTTCTCCTAGGAGTTAAGAATCTGTTTAATCTGTATGTGGCCACAACTCTTTTAAAAAGGACAGAGCCTGACGAGGTCACTCCTTAGACGCTGTTCATTGACCCAAGATGTTGGTAGAACAGTGTCTCGGTTTAAGATCTGGTTTCTGTTTGCAGTGTCTCAGTTTAGTATTTGGTTTCTGTTTGGGTACCCGCTTTGACTTCTAATTGCTTATGAGGTTGGTCCCTTTCCATTCTTTGCATCCTTGCTGTGCTATTTGCTACAGGGCGTGCTTCTGCTACACCTCAAGATTGATATTTAGGCTATAAACTTTTATTAGCCTTTGCTTATCTCTTTATAATTGGAGGTCTGCTTCTCATCAGGTGCCTCCTGTGATTTACTGGTTTTTAACAATATGTGGTCTAAGGCCTCCAAGTCTACAACTACAAGTCCCCTGGGCTGTATGTTAAGAAACTTCTCTGTCAGGTTCACAGAGAATTATGGAGTACATCTCTCTAAGGGCAAGCTCTGGACCTTCTGTAAAATTGATTGGTAATGTTGGATGGCCCTCTACAGGGTCTCTGGATGTTCATGTTACTCAGATTAAATTTGTTTTGTTTGTTCTGTTTATGGCCATAATTCTGTTTTCTGGTTTCAGAGTCCTGATTTTAGTTTTTTTAGTTTTCTCTAAGTTTGTTTTTTGTCTTTCTCCCTTTTCCATTGGCATGGCTTATACAGTTCAGTCAGTTCTTACTAAAAATATAAACATCATTTAAACCTGCACAGCTTTTATTGAACTATTAGGACAAAGTTTAGCCATGTAAGCTGGTTTCAATTTTGTCAGAAATATAATTTAAATTTGAATATCTTAAAAAAATAATAATAAACTTGTTGCTGTTTTGTGGCTGAAATTTAAAGAAAAAGGTTTTTAAATCTAGATTTGTTTAATTATGTTTGCATATATACATGTTATATGTTTTGTCCAGCATGCTACCAAATTGTCTGTTAAGTGAGTACTCATAAAATACTTTACAAGTTCATGTGACTTTAGTAAATAAAATAAAAATATATCTTTAAAACTGTCAACATACATTTTGTCAAACGTTATAAAATTACCAGCTTAGCCAAGACCAGAATAATCTTTATTTCTATAAGTGCTTTGTTATAAATATGACTAATTTAAAATTGTTGGTTCCAAACTGCTAAACTTTCTGAATTATCAGTAAAATGCTAAAAATTGGCCAGGAAATAGTTCTCATAAATAATTCAGCAAGCTGCTATAAATAAATAAAAAATATAAATAAAACAATGTTTATGGGTAAATTCTTCATGTGATTTTAAAAATCTCAAAATTATTTTAAAGGTCCATTAAATGTCTAAATTACTTTCAATTAAAAAAGGAGCTATAATACAAAAAAAAAAATTACAGGGACAACAGAGTCCAAGCATGTCATCATCAATGGTATGTAAAAACCAAGATAAGAATCACAAAGGGGAATTTATGAAGAAAAAAATCTCGGCATATAATCAAATTAGTTATAATTTTTTTATCCTGTTCTAACTGCTGTTATGACTTAAAAGACAATTTGCTCTAATAGTTAATTGCAATTTTCTTTTTCCACCCAAACTTGCAAGTGCTTTAATAAATTTTATTTCCAACTTTACCATGTGTTAACACATTAATGTTAAATAACAACACTGTTATATCAGGCTTGCTAAAGTTGTATTTTATAAACAAAAGAATAAATTGCCTGTTGTGCCTAATTAGCACCCTCTTATAAAAGAGGTAAAGCTTTAAATGCTAAACACCTTCCATAGTATGATAAGGTTTAAAAAACTGGCCTACGCCTAGTATATCTGCCAGATAAATAAAGTACTGGGCACTCTATGTAAGCACAGTAAAAATGAGAACTGAACACTCTCACCTAGTTGCAGCATTGTGGTTCTAGTTATAAAGTGTGGACAATCTGTGCCTTGCAACTGAAGCTAAAATTTAATAATTTTTAAAGGTTCTTAACAATTTTGCCCGTTCATAATTATAAATAAGTAGGGACAGGGTCATTACACATCCATGTGGTCTGTTCACTCTAAAGGGCTTTGCATCAGACTGTCACTATCAGAGAAATGGTTAAAAAGTTTCATATGAATAACCTATTAAAAAAAATAAGCTTTTAAGTTTTTTTAACCAAAACAAAGCAGTGTCAGCATGGAGGACAGCAGAACCAGAAGGCCAAAGAGGCACCCCAATTGATAGTCACAATTAGCAACCAAGATGCCAAGTGCCCATCAAAAACCTGGTAAAAATAAACCTACTAAGGGGATGGTGTCCATTGCTCATGGGTACAGCTTGTGGGGACACTAGAAACATAGCTGCCTCAAAGAGGCCTAACCTCCTGGACCTTGTCCACTGTGCAGGTCAATAAGCCATTGGGAAGAAGGTACACTCTCTTCTGAAGAAAGGAGAGAACACTTGGCTCACAAATAATGGCCACCTATGGAGGTCTGCAAACCTGCTAAACTTCCTGGCACTGGCTTACTATCACCCCAGCAACCCCCCAGAGATAAACCATGGCACTGGAACCCAAATTAATTATTTATTTTAACACAGGTGCCAGCTTTTTGGTCCTGGCCATCCATGTTGAAATCACATAGCTTTATCCAAAAGAATTTTACCCTCCACCTATCAAAGGGGAAAAAAAATAGCCTTGGGGCTGCTAGGACAAAAGTACAATCCAGATATAAAGGCAGTAACATACTCATCTATACAGTTGGACAATACAACAAAAGGGTGACCGTCTTGCCATCAGACCCTAGCAGCCACTGCCATACTAACTTAAAAAACTAATAAAAGTACTTATAGACAGCATATTAATATGTTTGTATAATACATTTTTGTTCTATTTTAGTACTACTATAAATAACTTACA